ATATACAAAGATTGTTTGGGATTTATGTAGTGTCATTTTTGGTATGTTAGATGAATTTTTTTCGTTAGAAATGGTGGTTTAATGATAAGGGGTGTCAGTAATGCTTAAATATAAATTAAAATGGTTATCAATGATTTTTTGATAGTAGAGAGAGTGTCCTTAAAAATATAAAAAATTAAATGGAGTGTGACTGAAATTTTCTCCAAAATATTGTAGTTGATTCCTCTTTTCCTTAAAGCATAGCATTTGTTACACTCTTCCTCCTTTGTTGCTTAGGGAATATAGATACCTGGCGGGGTAAGCATTCCTTTTTCTTTCCTATGGCATAGTATTGCTTCCAGTCTCACGCTACCTTGTTTGGAGAATAAAGTTTTCTTGTGGAACAAACGGACTCTTTTCTTTCTTAGGCCATGCATAGTACTCAGTTATACATACACTATTCTCTCCAAATTGTCAATCGACGGTGAATTACTTCTCTCCTTATTGTTGCTGTTTTTTGCCTTCGACTGCCAACGTTTCTTTCTTTACAATTCTTTCTTCTCTGCTCTTCTAATCAATACAATAAACAGATGTATGTCTAAAATTCTTTTTGCATAATTTTTGTTCACTTTATACTTCATTGAATATTTTTTTTTTAATTTTATGTATATAGGTATATAAATAATTGAAATGGATTAGCGCTAAGTACACTAGTTACATCCATTGTCCTTTATGTTTTTTATCTTGAAGGGGATATAGATTCATAGGTTTTTGTAACACATACCAAAAAATTTGAACAATTTTTCGATTTGTGCGTGTCATCTTTGCGGACCATACTAATTTTCTCTGTATCGTTTTAATTTTATTGAATGACCTCGAAGGAACTTGTAACACATACCAAATGTGAGTTAGATCGACTTCTAGTGTACGGAATTGATAACTCTTTATCCAAAATGATTACCCTGCTAATATAAAGTGATAAAATTTACAATTTTTTTCGCCCTTTTAACTATGAACCAAATAAAAATAAACATATTATCTTTACCACTTATAAATTCCAAAATTTGTGAAAATTTTTTATTTTTTATTTTGTCCTTAATTATTATTATAAAATTAATTATACTCAAATATTTACTTTAATTCAAATTTTATTTTCTATACCTATTAGAGTTTAAATTTATTTTGTTGGACACTTTTATTAGTACACTTACATACAATTTTTATATCTATGTGAAAATTTATATGAAGATGTAAAATCCAATCCAATCCAATCCGTATTCTATGATTATTATTATTAGTACATGTTACATTTTTTTAAGTTAAACCTCGACGGTACGAGGGTATAATTTTATTACTTTAGGAAAAAAATAATTACATTTAAAAAGGGGACGTATATACTTTACCCTCTAAACATAATATAAAGAATTCAAAATGCATGCATTTATAGAATATCCATAGCAATAGATAACTATGAAAAGTCCTAATGCCTTAAAAAACCCCATCATCGTCTGCCTGAGCCGCCGATGAAAGGATTAAAAATTAAAAACCAGTAGCAGTTGGGGAAGATGAAGGAGTTTAGAGGATAAGGATAAGCTCAAATTCGCTTGATAGACATCCTCTTGCGAATGGATTTAATCTGTCGTTGATCTTGCTGTATTAGTAGTCCTATGTGAGTAGGAATAGTGTTTGAAGAAGAACACATAGTTGAGACTCTATCCACAATCCCCTTGTTAGCGAAGGAGTCAGCCACATAATTTCCTTCCTTGTATGTATGCTGTATTCAGAAATCAAATCTCCCTAAGGATAGCTGAATCTTGTGAGAAGAGTGCTGCACCTCCATGGAGGTTCAAAAGTGTGATTGACCACATCCACAAGAATCTGAGATTCAGATTCAATGAGGATAGGATAAACATCCAAGCTGTAATCTAGAAGAAGACATAAGCCATCAAGACGGGCCCTCATTTCTGCTTCCATGTTAGAACCAAAACCAAAAAAATAAGATACACCTAGAAGAAGTTGACCCAAATGATTTCTTTGGACCACCCCACCTCCTGAAAGGCCTGGGTTTCCTTTTGAGCTCCCATCGATATTTAATTTCAGCCCTCTGGTGGGAACCTCTAACTAAGCCACTTAACAAACACTGTAGTAGCAGCAGCTAGTGGAACATTAAGTGAATGCAATAATGTCTGATGTGGAAGCATGTCAACTGTATTAGGACTGACGTTATACGCCTACATTTTCCAAATCTGCACAATGGTTAGGAAAATAGAGAAAGAATGTTGGGACAAATCTTCAAAAACACGTCTGCACCTCTCTTTCCATAGTTGCCAGTAGATGATTAAGGAAATCCCTCTAATGAGAATATGACAAGGTGAAAGATGGGTATAAACTCTGACTAATATTCGAAATCTGGTAAGAGGCTCTTCAGAGTCAAATATTTGAATGCCCAATGAAGTTGAAACATTGCTCCAAATGACTGCTGCATATTTGCAATTAACAAAAAAGATGAATTGCAGTCTCTTCAGCACTAAAACACATAGGACACCTACTAGCAAGAGAAAAACCCAGAGACTTGAATTTTGAATCCAAAGGGAGTGCATTTTTCATAATTTTCCAACCCACAAGCTGTGCACTTGGTGGGGAATATTGTTTCCAAATACTTGAAGCAGTACTATTAGGAATTCCTTGGCTACTGATAAGCTCCCAAGCTGTCTTTATTGAGAAATTCCCCCTGAAGTAGGCTGACATATTAACTTGTCAGCTTGAAGAGAAAGAGAAATAGCAGCATCGTACACCTCCTCTAGCAAGGGAGCATCCAGAGAATAGCCATCAAGCAGCCATTGACCATTAACTAGCAAGTCAACTAGATTTTGAAAGACTGATGGAGGGACATAATTCCTGAGCAGTAAAGGACCTATTCCTAACCAATTATCTCTCCAAAAATCCACTGATGGCTTACCTACTAATAGCTTTGAATTATTTATCACCAATTCAAGCCATGGAGCCAAGACCATAAAACACTTAGAATTAATTTGTCTGTTGCATGTTAGTAAATGCTTTCCCTTGAAATACTTAGCTGAGAAATAATTAGACCACAGAGAAGAGCAGTTCAACGAGGACCAGACTTGCTTCATTCTGAAGGAGGCTTGAACATCTTCAAATTTTCAAATCTCTAATCCACCCTCCTCATATGGCATAGTAATAGAAGACCAAGAGCATAAATGTCTCTTTTTCACCTCAGGATTATTAGACCAGAGAAAATAGGACATAGCAGAATTTAAGTTAGCTATGATCCCCTTTGAGAGGAGCGTAGCATACCACCTCTCTAGTTTAGACCAGAAATTCCCAATAAATCCTCAAAGTAGTTCATCTTTTCTCTCCCTTTGATAATTGGACAACCTAGGTATGTAAAAGGAGTAGGCTTAATTGGGATTTGAGTAGCGTGATTCAACATATGTCTCCACACAACTGAGATCTTTGATGAGCTATACGTTGAACTCTTATGCTTATTCAATTTCTGAGCAGAAGAGTTCTCATATCTCTCTATAAATTTTAGCAAATTCTTCATGGACCTTTTATTACCTCTTATAAAGACCAATGTGTCATCTGCAAAAAGATGACTAAGATTTATAGTTCCTCTCCCTATATGATAAGCCTTAATAAAGCCTTGCTCAAAATTGTACCTGAGACCCCTACTTAAAGCTTCTTCAGCAAGAATAAATAAGAGAGGAGACACAGGGTCAACATGGCTTAAATCCCTTGAGTTGGGGAAGATGCCATGTTCGACTCCATTGATAGACAAAGTAATGTTTTGATTATTAAGGCAATTAGAAATAATAGACACAAATGCCTCAGAAAACCCAAAACTGTGCAAGGCATGCTTGATGAAATCCCATTTCATCCTGTCAAAAGCTTGCATCATGTTAAGCTTTAGAATAATATTCGCTCCCTCAACTTTTCTATCTAAATCACTAACCATCAGCTAGACAAGAGCAATGCTGTCCCCAATGCTTCTCTCCTTATCAAACTCATGTTGTTCAGATGATATCAATTGAGGTAGCCTACTAGTCATAGTCAGAAGTTTTGTGAAGACTTTATATAAAAAGTACAGAGGCTTCTAGGCCTAAAATCAGAGAAGCTCATAGGATTCTCTTTTGTTAGAGTATGTGTGGCTCATATTTGCTGTGTGCATAATGGCAAGGAGGCAGATGCCGGAGCGGGCGGAGCGTAGCGGAGTGGAGCGAAGCAGAACGTAGCGGAGCGGAGCCCGCGACGACTTATGTCTGCCACATATAAATCCCGCAAGGCAGATGCCTACATCAAGGGGCAATGATCAGATTGCCCTTTCCCCACATGCTCTATCTTTGAATTAGCAAACCTTGCATTCCAGTGGACATTGACTAATGCTCTATCAATTGTCTGCCACATACGACTTATAACTTGCTGATTGTTGCACGATGTATATGTAGAACCAGAGTAATTCATTCATGATAGAAAGACTGGGAGTAGAACCTCCTTTCCTTCTAAAGATGAGACAATGATATTAAAATCACTAACTAGTAACCAAGGTGTATCAAAAGTTTGCAATTCTGCCAGATGAAACCATAGTGGCCTTCTCAAGAGGTGGTCACACTTTGCATATATAAAAGAAACTAGAAAAGGCAACGACCCCACGGAAGTAGCTTCAACTGTTAATGCCTGCTCATGAGTAGCAATAAGTTTTACTTGCAACCTATGATCCCAAGTAATCCATATATGCTTCTCAGCTACAGGATTGACCAAGAAAGAAGAAAAACCCAGAATTCTACAGAGATTTTGCATTTTGGATGACTTCAGTTTTGGCTCCAACAAAGACACCAAACAAATATCATGAATTCTAAATAATTTTTGGAGCCTCACCCTTGAAGCTTCCTGATTGATACATTCCAGGACATAAAATTAATCATTAAAATGCGAAGTGGAGGGAAGCTTACCAGACTTGGATTTTGTTATCATACTTGTGTTGAATAAATCACTAGCCTTCACATGCATTCTGGCTCAACTTCTGCATCTGAACTTTTGGAATCAGAGTGCTCCCAATCTACACCTGCAAAAAGATCATCATCTGACTTAAAGCCTTTATTTGGAGGCTCCTTGACAAATCGAAGCCCTCTTTCATCATCTAATGAAACACCAACACCTTTAAGGCAGACATATAGGTGATCTACTAAAAAAGTAGAATTAGAATCATAAAGAATCTGTTTGTTCAAATGATGATCATCGCTTGAAGTGGGATTATTTATTTTATCAGGTAGTGGATTCACTGATTCAAGTGGATTAGATTTTGATTGAAGTTCCTCATGAATATGAGAATCCACTATCGTATTTTAGTCCTTGATTTCTACTTCTTTGTTATTATCCAAACTAGTAGGAATTGGCTTCACTATATCATCTTTACCAGAGTGATTACCTCTTTCCAACATTCTAACAGAGCCAGTAATTTTTGGAGGAAGATCTGTAGGTCTAGTTTGTTGCTTCTAAACACTTCTTTGCTGCTGAGGACGTAATTTCTTTTGCACAAGACTTTCCTTATTGGCTTTCCCATAAATTATATTCTACTCGATTTGTTTCCCCTTGCTTTTCTCTGTCTTAGCATTTTCTGTCATAGTTTCCAAAACTTGAGGATTCTTTCCTTCCTCATACCCTTGCACCATGGCTACTTTCCTTTTCCTACTGTATTCCTCTCCATGCCTATGTTTCCTACAAGATTTACAAAATTTCTTAATCATCTCACAGATGATCTTCTGCCACCTTGCACCTTAATCTCCCATATAAATCCAAATTCCGAAAGGATTTGCTGCTAGAAGATTAACCTCCACACAAAATCTAGCCACTCCAGGCCTTGATAATGTGAGTGTAGCTTGATGAAAAGCCAGCACCTTCCAAATTGGTTTTACCAGCAACTTCAGAAAAGACTTCTTGAAAAAATCAAAGGAAATCCTGGCAATGAGATCCACATAGGAACAACGGCTGGCTCAATACCAAGTACAAATCCAGAAAACCATTTTAAAAATCTAAATAGGTAATCCTCTATTAAAGTGGCATCTTTCAACCAGGTTTTTAGATAATCATCTTGTAATTGAAACCTTAGTAGAATGTGCCCTTTGATCAATAGACCCCACCTCAAAATCACATTTTAATCTCCATTTAGATCTAATAATCTGTTTAATGACACCCAAAGAAGGCCTACCATATGAGCACTTGCCAATCAAGTCATATTGAAGGGATAGACATGATTCCTTGACATCTTCATTTGTAAAGTAGAAGGCAGGCTTTTCTTCATAGAACACAATTGGCTTTTCAATTTTTGCAGAAATTGAATTAGTAGATGTTTGGATGAGATGTTGCTTGAATAAAGAGGCCTAAGAAGGTTAATGATTGGATGTTGGATCTAGTGGTTTTGGTGGGATATTCAAATGCCTTGGTGATGAACTTGTGAAGGAAAAATTGTAGAGAGAAGTCAGACCTTCTCTCTCTAAACAATTTTTTTTTTATTATATGTAACAATATCATAATATTATAATACAAACAATAGTATTAGAATTTAATCAATATCTTTGACAAAAATTTAATAAATATATAATATATCTAGTTGTGTAAATACTGAAGAATGATAATGTTACAATGACAAATTAGCACTCAAAGAGAGATAGAATATATAAATAATTAGGTTTAGTAATACCAAAATAAGAATTAATAAATAAATTGTTAATTTATTATTCAATTTAATTATAGATATAAATTAATTTTTTTTATAAAAAAATATTATTTAAATATGTTGATATGTAACACATGCTGTGCATTGCTAGTAATACTAACATTCACACCTAAATTAGCCAAACAAATATATATTATGTAATGTAGGACCCACTAATTTCTTCACTATTTGATTTTTGTAAGAGAAAAATACAACCTTTTTATTGATGATAACATGGAAGTTGAGTGATCAGTTTCAAAAAGAATAAACTAAGTGCATCTATTCATGCAAAACGAACAAAATGTCAGGGACCAAAGGTTGGCTGGCTGTAGACACTTCGATATTTAAGTTAGTAAGATTCTGGTATCAAGCAAACAAATTGGACAAACAAAAGTGCATACCTCAAGTCTTAAGCTCATCCGATTATTTATAAGATCAAATCCTTGACCAAGTCGGATTTAAAATCCTAGTAGGAAGAAGGAGGCAAACCCCAAACCTAACCACATTCAATTCAGTCAAACTTGACCTTCAATCTTACAAGTTAGTTTTATAGGTAACGTGTTCACAATTTGCACCTTAATCAATGGTAAGGTCTTATCCTATCAACCGCCTCAAGTTTCTAGGAGTAGCCCAACTATTCTGTTCGGAGACTATGAGATAGAGATAAACTCTCATTCAAATTTTAGTCTCATAGTATCTTTTTCTATGCATACTTCTTAGGTTCTGCTCGGCACATTCTTCATTGATTGAGATTGCAGATCCACCCAGCAGACCATTTCCCATTGATTTTTTTTGTGGTAGGGTCTCATCCAATATGTTCGGTAGAACCCAAATCTATTTCGATAACCTATAATCTACTTAGTTGAGTCTTTGTTTGTTTGTTTGGGAATGGTATTTTCATTTCAAACAACTCTTTTCAACACGTGTCAATTTCCATGTGACTTGGCCCAGTTGTCAATTCATGATCGGAGTTATTCACAACCCCATAACTTGCCCCCAAAGCATGTCTTCCTGTGGTAGCACTGGGGATATTCTCTGTTTCTAATCATTCCCATCATTTAAAGACTTTTCTTGATCCAAGCAGAAAGGTGTCCAAAGGGAATTATTGGCTTCTCTTTCCAGTCAAAAACTATCATTTCATTCAATGTTGCATTTTTCAAGGTTTAGGTGTTGTTTCCTGCACCATTTCCCTTTATTTGTAGGGGTTTTCTTCTCCATTCCACAATTTCTACCATTTTTTCCATCTTCAAGCCTCTACACCTTTAGACAACTATAAGTGTTCTTTTTCACATCTCCTTTTTCTATGTTTTCTTATCTCCCTTCCATGGATTCATTGAAAAAAGAGCAGATAAACGAGTTTAGGTCTAAATATTCCATCCCTGATGATGTCAACATCAATGTTGTATAGGAAGATGAGCATTTGATATGGTCTAGGGAGTCCATTCCTATCCCAAACAGAGACATTACAGAGAGAAGGGTTAGGTTCCCCTTTCATATTTGCTTATGTGGGTTATGCCTGCCCTTAAGCTCCGTCCTATCCAGTGTTGCCCTAGTTTCTTCAAAATAGTTCTGGGGATGACAATCTTGAACAATCTTTTGGAAACGAACCTTGGCCTTTGGGAAATTTATTTTTTGTTACATAATAAAACCCACTTTTGAAAAGAGTGATTATTTCACATAAGCAGGATAGATTGTTATCTAGTCACTCATATTCTTGATTTAAAAAAGGGTCATGAGAATGATGTCTTGTTTGTTTTGGGTAACTGGAACATAAAGAACGATATTCAGGAAAAAGAAATGGGAAAAGGAAGAGTTCCTACTAACTTTATTGATTTGGATATGAACCTAACCATTGGGGAGGCTTCAGTTCTAGAACTGCACCCGCACCCAAGACCGTATTGACAATAGAGCCTTCCATTAAAGTTATTCCAATCAATCTAATATTAACCAAGACGAATCCACTTATAACCCTTAAAGAAACTAGATCTAATTAGTCCCCTATTCAAGCTAAGTTGCAAGAAGATATGGATCCTATTAATGACACTGTTTCCGTTGTTAACTTAATTCAAAGGAAGCATTTGACCAAGAAGCAGAAAAACTAAGTTGGGTCATCTATTAATGTTGAGGAGGAGCTTGAGAAGGTTGATGAAGTCCCAATTTGATGCTCTAGGATGAGGACCCGTGGTCAGGAAATCCTTGCAAAGGATTCGACTGTCACTAATTTAGGCGAAGCTATGGGTGTTGCCAGGACAGTAATTCTTTTGCCCAACTTTAAAATTTTTGAAAGTTTATATGATAAAATGCTGATTTGGAGTTCTCTCTAGATGATGGCATTGGTAGGTTGTCTTACCATAGAAAAGTTTCCAAGTCTCTAGACTTCTATTCTTCTAATTAAACTTGTATATCACTGGGGTCTTTATCGAATCCATGAGGTTTGGGCTTGCATAGTGAGGAGGGACAAGGAGCTAAAGAAATCCCAACTTTTAAATGTTCTTATTGTCAAAAATAGTGAGTGTCTCAATGTTAAATCATGTAAACTTGTCGAGACACTACTTAGCTTCAGGCTAAAGTGGCTACACTTATTGAACCGGGGGAGTAGGTCTGTACCAAGCTGAAGGGGGCTGAGCACGCTGAGAAGGAGGTTCAAGAGGAAACTTCACGTCTTTAGGAGCAATATGCCTCCTTGAAAGAAGAGTTCAGCAGCCGAGGAGAAGTCTAATAAAGAGGGTTTTGACAAGGCCGAGAAGGCTTTGGCAAATCCGATTCCCACACTTAAAGCAATTTTCTTCAAAAATGGTTGGGATGATGCCTCAGTTGCTTCTGATGTTCCTTTGAGCTCCGCACTCTTTTCCAAGTATAATGTCACTTTGCCTTCCTCAAGTACTAATGTTCCCAAGCTGGCCACCACCTTTGAGCACATCTTAAGTACCTTTGTTCTTATAGTTTTTTCTTCTTTCTTTTCTTTTTGATCTTTTAATGTATCTTTATTTGAATTAATGAATGGGATTCCCCCTTTCTATCGGTGCTGTCTTGATTTCATACTTTGCAAGATATTCATCATTGCCCTTTCCCCCTAGGAAAGAGGCCTAACCTTAGAGAAGGGTTCAAGCATTCACACTTAGAGAAAATTTTTATTATCGCCCCTACTCCAAGTAAAGAGGTCCTACCTCAATGAAAGGCTCAGGGCCTCATACTTATAAAATTTTTGATTATTGTCCTCTTCCCCTAGCAAAGATTTATTGCCTCAATCAAGGGTTCGAGCCTTCATGATTATTATCGCTCCTGCTCTACCACTTGAGATATTTTTGTCTCTCGTGTCTGTCATATGATTCATTCTTTTGCCTTCTCTTTCATTCAAATGGGTTATGTCTATGGTCAACATGACAAAATTCTCCGTTAACATTGCATTGGGAGAATAGGGAACATAGTGATCCAAGGCTCTATATACATTTCTGAAACCCATAATCACCTAAAAACTGAAGCCTATAAGTGGTGAGTCCATCAACAGTATATTAAGATACTTTAACTTGTTTTTCTATCTGATGTGCAATTCTCATACATGTAGTACCCAATAATATCCCCCTTATGTGTGAAACACATCGGGCCTCCATATCTAGTTACTTGTTGTAACCAATGCACTGACCCACCAATCTGTTCAATCGCAAATCTTTACCCATTTAACTTACACCATGATGCCTATCTTTAAGCCTAAGTCTGATTGGATGGATGCACCTAGGCAAAGACCTTTCCTCCACTAAGGTTTTTCTCCTCCCTACCTTAGTAGTAGATTGTTTCTAGTATTTCCCAAGCCTACTGGGGTCTTCTGCCTAGAATTTTATCCTAAGGAGTTTTTCCTTTGCCTTAGAAAAGGCCCGTTATACACTTTCTGTTTGGTCATTTTCCCCCAACAAGCTTGCTATCATCATATTTTTACAAAGGTATTTTGTAAATAAGAAAGTTATTCTTTGAAATTGAAGTTATCTTACAATTTCTGAATTGAAAATTTTCTAACTTAATAATCCTGAAGGCACTTCAAATAAAACTAACTACTTTGCCTCTGGAGGTACTCCATCTCAATGATTGAAGGTACTTCAATCTCTTTTGATTTTGTTTCTGAAGGCAATTGAGAAGTAAAAGTTTATATGGTTTTCCACATTCCAGGGTCGTGGAATCGACTTTCCATCAAGTGTCTCCAGTATATAAGATTCAGTCTCTCCAACCGAAGTGACCCTATAAGGTCCTTCCCGATTAGCACCGAGCTTCTATTGTGTGGGATCCTTTGTAGTTGCCATAACTTTTCTAAGTACTAGGTCCCAGAAAATAAATCCCCATGGTCGGACCTTTCTGTCATGTGCTGAGGTCGTCTGTTGTACATAGGATTACATTCTTGTGGCCGTTAATTCCCCATTTTCTTCTACTAGGTCTAAGTCTTTCACAATTGATGCCTCATTTTTTCTAGTGTCAATGAGCTCGAATTTGAAGGTTGGGAGTCCGATTTCCAGGGAATGACTGCTTCCACCCCATAAGCTTGTGTATATGGAGTTCCCTAGTTGCTCGACGGGGTGTGGTTTGGTATGCCCACAATATGCTAGCCAATTCTTCAACTTATTTACTCTTGGATTTTTCAACCTTTTTTGATCCCTTGTAGGATAGTTTTGTTGGCGATTTCTGGTTGACCATTAACTCTATGGGTAAGCTAGGAAAGAGTAATAATTTCTTATCCCAAAGTGATGGCATAAACTTTTGAAAGGTTTGTTATCAAACTGGGTCCTATTGTGTGAAATTCAGACTCTTGAAATGTCAAAACGTGTTGTGATGTTTCTCCATGCAAACCTCTTAGTATATGTGTCCCTAATACTTGCTAAGGGCTCGGGCTCGACCCACTTTGTGAAGTAGTCAGTTGAAACAAGGATGCACCTTTTATTTCTAGGTGCCCTATGAATTGGATCCACAATATCAAGTTCCCATTACACAAAGGGCCATGGACTTATTAGGTGATTCAGATCCTGGGCTGATTGTCACGAGATATGTGAGAACTTCTGCACTTCTGAGACTACCTTATGTATTTATAAACATCTTGCATATAAGACCACTAATAACCTTATGAAATTGCTTGGTGAGCAAGTGATCTTCCCTCATAATGAGCTCCATAACCCACTTCATGAATTTTGAATAGAAATCATATATTATGCTCCGGTGTACACACAAAAAATATGTCCCTGTAAAGGATCTTTTGTACAGCTCTCAAAAACCAGAATCTACTAGATTTGAGTCTCAACCTGTGGACCTCTCTCTTATCTTCTGAGAGTTTCTCCTCTTTAAGTGACAATTGGGTCCATCCAACTTGGACATTGGACGAATGAAGTGCTTCTCCCGTGGTCTTGAGCTGAATTCTCAGATTTTCTTAGTTTTCCACCAAGATAGTTATTGTTAGATTCTCATTGAGTGCTGACGCTTGGGTGGCCAGGGCATCAACATGCATGTTCTTGCCCTTAGCAACTTCTTGTATCATTACTTTGTGGATCTTATTGGGTTCCATTTTTTTCTAATTGGTGATAAGTTGTTATCCTTTATTCTTTTACTAAGTACTCGCCAGAGAGCTGGTGCACCACAAGTTGTGAGTCAGAATAAACTTTTTACTTCTTGGTGCCCGCCCATTTCATATATGATTCTTACTCCTACAAGCAAGGCCTTATACTCTGCCTTGTTGTTTGATGCACTGAACTCCAATCTTATTGTTTTCTCCATTGTATCACCTACCGAAGATTCCAATGTTATCCTAA